TAGGTTATTTCCATATCTTGACTGTTGTAAATAATGCTGGAGTGAATATAGAGGTGCATTTATCTTTACTACTTCATGTTTACATAGAAATTGAGGGGGTTTTGGTTGTTTCTTTTTTTTTTGTTTGTTTCTGACTGCACCATGTGGCATGTCAGATCTTACTTCCCTGACCAGGAATCAAACCCTGCCCCGTGCAGTGGAAACACAGAGTCCTAACCATTGGATCTCCAGAGAATTTCCCAAAATTGAATTTTTATTTATGTGGCTTCTGAGTATTATGTGTATGTGCTCAGTCACTTCAGTAGTGTCTCTCTGCGACCCTATGGACTGTAGCCCACTGGCTCATTTGTCTGTGGGATTCTCCAGGTGAGAATACTGTAGTGGGTTGCCATCCTTCCTCCAGGGGATCTTCCCGACCCAGGGATCCAAGCTGCATCTGCCACGTCTCCTGCATTGCAGGCGATTTTTTACTACTGGGCCAGTAGGGAAGCCCTTATATGTATTGTATTAGATATTAAAACTTAAAAGAGTTTTTCAAGCAACTCAGTTTATCATAATGATAATAAAAATTTATTGCATTTTGACATAAATGATTGGTATACATATGTAGTTTTTAAAACCTGTATTTTTGAAAATGCAGAAAGAATCTGTGGAAAAAAATAATGTTGTTTTACATTATACATATCTTTAAAATATCTCCATTCAGTTTGTCGAGCTATGTTGTCTTAGTTTGTACCTACTGTTCCCTCTGCATGGAATGCTCTCCTTGGTATCTACTCATCCTCCAATTCAGCTGAAACATCATTGCCTTTGAAAGTCACCCCAGGCCCTCCTTAAATACATATGTAGAGTTGACAGCATTGACAGCATCTTCCTTTGTGCTTCACTGTGCCTTTTAATGCTTGCTATATTACTGTCTAGGTGACAGATTCCTTGAGGACAGCGACAGTGTCTTATTCAGTATTTAATCTTTATTTACTGACTCTTCCTAGCTCTTCAGTAAATGTTGAATGGATAAACTGCTGCTTTTTTACATGCAGTGTCAGTTTCTCCATTATCCAAATTACTTTTTCAATTATGGCATTTCCATCAAATTTTGTAACTTGAAAATTTGTAGGTAACTTCAGAAATATGAGTAATGTGAATTTTCAGTTTGTAACTTCTATTGTTATATATTCAAACATTAATATGTAGTATGTAAAATATGGCTGTAGCTTTATTCTTTTAAGGGAAGTTGCTTTTGGGGTAGCATATGAATATATTTTTGAATTGCACGCACTTAATTTTTCTTGACTGAGGGGAGTTTCTTAATTATGTAAGTATTATGGGAAATGCACCTTGACAGAAAGACCATAGCTGCTCAACAGACTTACCACAAATAGGCTAAAAAAATAGGTTTGCTTTTCAAAATAGGTTTGCTAATTTCTTTTTTTTTTTGGTTTGCTAATTTCTTAAATAAGTGATTGATAACACCAGTTAACAAGTACAGTAATATGATTAAGTGCACTTGCAAAGCATATATACACAATTGGAAATCCATATTAGAACTGTTAGTCCTGTATAGTGTAATTCTCATGAGTTGAGAAGCACTTCTTACTTCCTTATTAGAAACTCATATCTTTTTATTGTTGTTGCTTAGTTAATATAAGAGCTTTATGGAGTATTTCCTCTTAATCTCCACCAGTTTTCATCAGTTTTCGTCACAGGGTATCTACCATTACCCTGCAACATCAGAGTTCTGAAACTGTACGTGCATAAGAATACCTGAAGGTGTTTGTATTATGAATTCCTCAACCCTGCTTCCAGATGGTCAATATACAAGTTTGTCTTCTAAGTCTTAAAGATACAGAGAGTTTTATAGCTCAGAGAAGTTTTGCAGATCTCCTAATCTCTTTTAGGAGTTGGATTATTTTGAGGAAATTCAGAATCAAAAAAAGTTAGCAAAGCTTCCAGAATCACAAATCTAGTTAGTTAATGGACCAACAGATCCTAGTAATTAGAATCAAGGGTTTTCATTCTGCCTTGCTGCATGAGTCAGTCAGCCTTTCTTGCCTGAAAAGATAAGTTTAGTTATGAAGCAGCTTTTCTTTTACTCCTTTTAGAATAAAAGCAAAATTATATAAGATCTTCCATATAAACCTAGGGATGCCAAAGTTGTAAACTATTTCCCTCTTTTTCAAATTCTCAACCCCAGCTTTATTTTCCAAAGACTCAGTGTCTTTTTTTCTCTGCCTTAAGAATGGTTTGACTTTGGTAACTTTAATTTTATTTTAGTCAACAGGAACTTAAAGTTGTTTGAAGGAAATGGAAGAAATCAACAGAGCATGCCTAACTGGAAAGTAGAGCTCAGTTTATTGTTAGGTATACATGTTCCTCTTTGCCCCTTGTCAGTTAGTTGAATCAGCTTTATATTCATCACATGAGATATTAGGGAATTTTTAGTAGCCTCATAGTGTGTGAGAATTATATGAGAGACCCTTTGAGGTCAGTCCTATTTCATTGCTAACATCATTGTTACACTTACACATTATTACACACTTACACATATATAGATATAATTAAATGATACTCCAGATTGTTGGATGGTTTTCTTTCTATTATATAGGTTCTTACATTCCTTGTATTTCATGTTTTACTTGTTGAGAGATGAGAGGTTGATTTCTATAGCAGATTAAATACACGGTTTTACCTTACCTTTTATGCCAAAACTTTTTAAATGAAAGTGTAGGGAAAAAATGGAATGGGAAGAGGCATAAATTAGTAATAGTTTAAATTAGTAAGCGTGTCATCAGTGGACCAAAGTTTGTTTGTTTGTTTTTTAGCAATTTTTAAAAATAATACAACATTAATTTTTTATTCATATTATTTTTTAAATTTTGTTTATTTTATTTGTGCTGGGTCTTCATTGCTGCTCGCAGGATTTCTCTGCTTGCAGTAAGCAGGGTAGGGGGCTACTCTCCAGTTGCAGTGTGCAGGCTTCACATTGCAGTGGCTTCTCTTGATGCAAAACACAGACTGGGGCACGGGCTCAGTAGTTGTGGTGCATAGGCTTAGTTGCCCTGTGGCATGGGGAATCTTCCAGGGCCAGGGATTGAACCCTTGTCCCCTACATTGGCAGGCAGATTCTTAGCCACTAGACCACCAGAGAGGTCCTTAAGCAGTTCTTGATAAAAAGTGAAATGGTTCAAAAACATGAAAAAAATAAGATCAGAGGAAACCCAAAACACATTGAAGAAGAAAACTGTTGTGGAAGTAGGGGCTTTTCTGGAGAACATCAATTTAAGGAGAAAGAAGGGAAGAACTCAGAACAACTTTGGAATGGATTAGTTGCAGAATTGGTCTCTAAGCTTTCTGGACCACATGGCGACTCCTCTCATTCCCATTTGGGCTAAGCTGCAGACAGTAGCCGGAGAAGGCAATGGCAACGCACTGCAGTACTCTTGCCTGGAAAATCCCATGGATGGAGGAGCCTGGTAGGCTGCAGTCCATGGGGTCGCAAAGAGTCAGACACGACTGAGCGACTTTACTTTCACTTTTCATTTTCATGCATTGGAGAAGGAAATGGCAACCCACCCCAGTGTTCTTGCCTGGAGAATCCCAGGGACGGGGGAGCCTGGTGGGTTGCCGTTTATGGGGTCGCACAGAGTTGGGCACGACTGAAGCGACTTAGCAGCAGCAGACAATAGCATTAGCCCTCAGAATATAGCATTGAGAAGGAGCTTTGGGAGCATAGAGTCAGGGCAGTGCCCCAGGTAGCCTATGACCATAGAATGCTCACTCAGAAGATAATCTTGTCACACATTCTCAGCAGCAAGTCTACTGTTTGCCTCCCCTACAATCGAGATAAACTGCAGCTAAACAGAGCAGGCAAACTAAAATAAATTCAAAGAGAAGCAACAGTACCATGAAAGAGAAGTATAAAAATCAACAGTATATCTAAATTCTTAGGAAACAGTCCATAGAACAAGACTTTAAGTATAGTTAATATCCTCAAGGAGACACCAGAGATTATTGCACGCGCGCGTGCGCGCGCACACACACACACACACACACACAAGTCTTGGAAGTTAAAATAGAATTGAATAGCAAAATGGGCACAACTGAAGAGCATGCTGATGAGGTGGAAAATGCAGCTGAGGAATTCTCCCTACACCAGGCATAAAATGACAGAAAAGATAAAACATAGGAGAAAAAATTAGATACGCAGGTTAGATCTAACATTTCAGCATCCGTCTCTAATCAGAGTCCCAGTAACAGACTGGCAGTAGTGGGAAGGAGAGAAATTTAGAATAAATAATAGAATAAATATTTTCCACAGCATTCTTTAGGACGTTTAGTGTTGAATAGTCTAGGTGACAAGAATCATCTTTGTCTTGCTTATAAAATTAGTGACACTGCTTATGTTTCATAATTATTGAGTATGCTATAGAGCTTTGGTAGATAACCCTTTATAAAGTTAAGTAAGTTTATTCTATTCCTACTAAAAACTAGTAGTTTTGTTGTTGTATTATGATATTTGAACGGGTATTGAATTTTTTTTTCCAGCATAAGGTAAGATGATCACAGGGTTTTGCTTCTTTAATTTGTAAGTTACATTGATTTATTAGTATTGAATCATCCTGTATTGGGATAAACACCATAAACATAAATTGGTATAAAACCAATTTAATTTAGTTTTGCTTAAGGGTTTATAAATAGGATTGTAGCTTTCTCTTTTTGTGACTATAGTATATCTTGACCAAAATTGATTTTTCAGCTTTTTAAAAAGAAAAATTCAGAAGTAAAGCAGCATGTATATCCCCAAATTAGAACATACCTGTATGGATAATAAACACTTTGAGATGTCTTGTGAAAGGAGAATCTGAAGGCTGCTAACCAGTAAGATTTAAACGAAATTATATTTCAAGGGATGTGATAAAAATTTTGTTGTCTGTTAATTCCTTCCCATCTTATATGCTACTCTTCATAATTCTTTTACTGTAAATTTTATTTCTCTTTAGGTACGCATAGCTGCTAAATTTATCACTCATGCACCCCCAGGAGAATTCAATGAAGTGTTCAATGGTGAGTAAAGATTAGTACTTAGTTATTTCAGACCCTCTTTAATCACTTACAAGCACTTATTGAATGTTTGCCGTCTCTCTTAATCCTTACAACATTATAGCTATAGCTAAGGAAATCAGAATTCAAAGAGGTTAACATAACTTACCCAGTATCACCCTATCACCCAGCTGGTAAGTGTCAGAGCAGGGATTTAAACCCAGGTTTGCATCAAAAGCATGCTCTTAAGGTATACATTAGGATACCTATCTTATGTGAGAAAAGATTTAAAGTAGTTCACTATTGATCAATGTAGAAACAATATTAAATTTCATAGTTATCTATCATTATAAATCATAGCTTAAATCTCTTCAGTGCTTTTACTCAAGAAGTGCCATAGTTCAGGACACTTTCTAGAGCCACTGGGGCAGAACTGACTGTATCCAGGGAGCTTGTTAAATACACAGATTCTGGTGTTGTCATCCTCCTAAGATTCGTTAGATCTGGGTTGGAATGGGTAATCTGCTTTATTGGGTCCTTCAGGTGATTCTGAGTCACAGCCATTTAGAAAACCACTATTCCAATATATTTACAACATTCCATACTATTTACTGTCTTAACATAGCTTACAGAATAAAAATATGTAAATGAGGCAATATAACTATATTAATGTCTTATCATCATAATCCCATTTTAAGTTGTAAACTGATTTTATCTTAAAATTCCCCTTAAGTAAAATCATAATCTTTGTGCATCTTGGTTCAGTTTAGCAAACATTTATTTTGAAATTCTACTTTTACATTAAAAGGTTACCTCCTTAGTTAGGGGAACTATATGATGTTCATTTGCACCTGGCTCAGAGCTCCACAAATTGTGGAACAATCAATAATCTCCACTGATAAAATTAATGATGCAGAGGAAAAACAACTAGGAGAAATATGAATGTTATTTACAAGGAGTAAAATAACACAAAAGAAGTAAATCAAGACATTCTTCTTTATAGACTTGTTTTGAATATTTGAGCACTAACAAGGAAAACAAATGCAGCCTTTCTTTGCCTAGTCTGTCTTCCATATTGACCAAGTGTAAATTTTCAACAACAGAGCTTTTAGAAATTCTCCTACAACTTGAACTTTATACAGCTGATTAGCTCAAATAAATTCTTGACTTATTAATTAGTGGCCTTTTTAAAACAAGTACCTTGTTTTATTTCTGACAGTTGAATGTACTTTATAGGAATATCATGAGAATAATTGATACCAAAGCATTAGATTAAGAATTGGCAAGCTACTTATGACATGACGGCTGGTTTTTATTGGTATGCTACACATTGAGCTCTGCCAGCCCCTTCTTTCAGAAGCTCTAAGAGTCAATTGGCTTTTCCTTATCATCAGCCTTCTCTCTTGGCACACTACAGTGCATGTGTTCACAAAGAGTCATATTGAAAACACACACACACACACTTGGAGTTAATTCTTGGTAGTTTCTTAGTAACAAGGACCCTCCTCTTCCAAAGGAAAAGTGACTGGACTCTTGACACACAGCTTTTTGAAAAGATTATAGGCCCTGCACTAGATGCTCCGAGGAAAGTATGTTTAGCAATTTCGCTGCCACTGACTGAATTGTGCCCAGCTCTTTTGATCTGTTACAGAAAAGCCCACAATTAATCTATTTTACAAGGATTCTTTAGATATAAATTATCAGTCCTAACTTTAAGTTTCTATAAACCATGTTTTTCATTTGCTATATCAAACTCCTTTAGAATTTTTTGTTGTATTATTATATCACAAATCTATGCAAATCTGTGAACATTCTTAGCATCTGTTTGTGTATGTACATTTTTAGAATTTCAACATATATAGTATATCCATACCTAATCTTGCAAAGCCTGATTTTCTAGAAATCTAATTTAGAATTCTGCTAAAATTTCTCAAGTTTGCCTTCTATTGAACATTTGAATTTTAACATCTTTAACATTGTTTCCTCAGATGTCCGGCTACTACTTAATAATGATAACCTCCTCAGGGAAGGGGCGGCACAGTATGTATCTTTCTAAACCCACTTACTTGTTATTGTAATATTGGGTAAACCATGTTGATAATAAACTAGTACCCTGAAAACAGTTTAAAATACTTCAAAATAAAGCAGTTTTATTATGGTTTTTTTTTTTTTTAGTTGTTTTTTTCCCCCCTTGGAGAAAGCTTGTTCCCTCCAAACATTATTTCTTTAGTTTATTATGTATGGTCTTATTTTTATTTTTACTCAGATATTTTTTCTCTGTTCAACAGAATTTAATGTTAGCTATTACACTTTCTTCTGTAGTTCTTTTTGTTCATGCTGCATATTTTTTTTTTATAACTGTCAGTTGTAGAAAAATTAGGCTGGTAGTGAGAAGTGATGATGTTTCTCACATTGCCAAGAATAGCAGATACTGAGAAGGTACCTTAATAGAGTTAACCAAAGAATAATTACATGATTATTCTATCCAATCATTGTCCTTGTCCTCAAAAACATTAAATTTTGTGGCTGGCTGATTTTCTTGTCTGTTTTAAATCTTAAACACTGTCTAGCTTTTAGGGCCTCCAGTTCTCTGGTTTTATCTGCTTTACTCTTCAGTACAAAGTACTCTTTCAGTTACTGTCTATCCACCTGGCCCACAATTCCTTTGTAAATAGGAAACCAGAGTTGGATAATGACTGAGCAGAGGTGGGGTGGGGAGATGGAACAAGTTTTTTGTTTTTCTTTTTTTTTGATGCAGAGCAACATATAATTGTTATAAAGGCATTTGGTGTGATATATAATTGGTTTAGATTTTAGCTGTAGAAAATATTTTAAGAACTGCTGCTTGTGAAATAATCTTCTGCCCTGTCCAATACTGTTGTGTTTTTTTTTTAAATTCATTTTGGGACCAGATTCTGCAAACCTAAAATTTGCACAGAACCACTATAATTTCTATAATGAATGATACCCCAGTTGCATATTCTCTTTCACTGTTTTGTGAACTACCTTCCCCCACCCCCCGTTGTGGCATATGGCATGCAGGATTGTAGTTCCCCAAGGGATCGAACCCATGCCCCCTGCAGTGGAAGCATGGGGTCCTAACCACTGGACTGCCAGGGAATTCCCTGAACTACCTTTTATACTTATTTATATATAATTCTGTTCTCTCCCTCTTCTTCCTTTTAAAAAAAACAGTGCGTTTGCTCAGTATAACATGGATCAGTTCACGCCTGTGAAGATAGAAGGATATGAAGATCAGGTAATAGTTATTTCTGTTAGATATACTGTGCCTGGAAGGTAGTAGAAATACTGTAAAACAGATGTCTGAAGATAAGATGCTGAGTAACTTCATGTCTTAGCTTTTGTAAATATTCTACATACTAGGAAATTCTTCCTCCCTCTGAAAATAGGAGTTTATTTGAAGAGAGAATTGTCCCTAACAAAAGAACAATGCAAGTAAAAGGAATTAAGTTTTACACAAGCTTTCCAGCTGTCCCTAATTCTCCTTGGTAAGAATAACAGAAGACTTTATATTTAATAGGAAAACAAGGATTCCTGTTTAGATACAGGAACAAAGTAAATACATATTTCCCTTTTTTCCCACAGTTATTAACATTACATGACAGGGCTTTTCAGATTCATTAATGTACACTTCAAAGGTAGTATGGCATCAAATAGCAGATGCCTTTTCACAGTCTTAATCCCCTTTGAACCCACAAGTCCAAAGAATTTATCTTAGGAAATAAGTATATAAGTGTAAAAAAGATTATTTGAAGCAAGGTTATGATAGTGAAAAATTGGGAGCAGTCTAAATGTCCAACATTAAATTAAATATCTGTAGGCCAAAATCCTATGTAACCATTAAAAACTGATAGAAATATTGAACTGGGAATATGTTTATGGTATATTAAGCTAAAACATGAAGCAGCATGTAGTGTTGTGCTAGTTTATTTTTTAAATAAGTATATAAATGAACAGTTGTATTAGAATTTGCATCTTAAATTCTGTGAAAGGTACATCTTACTTTATGTGCCATTAAGAAAGTGAAAATACTGTCAATTAAATTATGACAGTTTTAAGATGCTGTCACTATACGATGCATCCCGTTTTATGAGATGTTAAATCATGAGGGGAATGTATGCATCTTAAGACTCAGAAATAAAAGTAATAAGAAAGAAAAGAAATAAAGTAGTATATAGATGTGCATAGAAATTGAAATGTGAGAAAATACATACCAAAATGTTAACTCTCTATGTTGGGATCACAGGATTACTGTAATTTGTTTTGTTTGTTGTTTGTTTTGGTTTATATTTGTGCTTATCTTTTTCAATGAAAATAGATTAATTACAAGTATAAAAGACAAGAAAATACTGTTTTTTTTACTTTACAAGTATAGTTTACAAGTTTTTTTACTTACAAGTATTTACTTTATACTTTACAAGTATAAAGATAAGAAAAATAAATGATTAATATTTCTTACAGTTGATATTGTATACTTTACTAATAATGGCAGGATTATTGAAATAATAAATAAGGTTTGTTTGCAGATACATGATATAAGAGCATTCCCATATACATGTGGTAGCCAGCTTAAAAATGTAGTCAAAAAGAGATCACATTCTTAGCCACAACAACGCATTACCTAAACTTAAAAGGAAAATATGGAAAGACATTTGAGTTAATAAAGTAGATGCCATTACTGCATATAATAGGAAATCGGCTGCAGTGGGTTAACTTAATAGAGCCTTTTTGTCACATAAGAAGTCCAGAGGTAATATTTAGGAATGTTAAGGCAGCTCCCTCCTGGAGGAGGGCATGGCAACCCACTCCAGTATTCTTGCCTGGAGAATCCTCTGGACAGAAGAGCCTGGTAGGCTATCGTCCATATGGTCGCACAGAGTTGGATATGACTGAAGTAACTTAGCATGCATGCAGGCACACACGGCAGCTCCATGTCATCAGAGACCCAAGTTGCTTCTAGCTCTCTCTTGTGCCATCCTTATGTATGGTTTTCATTATTGTGTTCTCAAGATAGCTGATCCATCTCTGCAGTCTGAATCCAAGTTCCAGGAAGGAAGAAGGAGGAAGGTGCAAGAGGTGCTATTGGCTGTTCCAGAAGCAACTTCCACTGATAAATTATTGCCAGAATGCATATCACTTTATCATTTTGAGAAGTGTTGTCTTTTTAGTTGGACTCATTGCCTTGAAAAACCTTTAAGGTTCTGTTAGTAAGGAAAAGGGAGAAGAATGGATATTGGATAGAAACTAGCAAGAGTCTGTCATACAGTTTATATGTACCTGCCCCCACACATTTTAATCAGAGAAATAAATGGAAAATTAAATAGACTTAAATGCCACATTTCAGAAAAAAATAATATGGAAAGTTTATCTGAATAAGAAATATAAATAATATGGGAAGCTTTTTCAAATAGATTCCATACAATTCCTATGAAAATTGTAATAGACCATACAGGATTGTTCTGATCAAGAACAACAACGAAGGTAGATTAATGCCAGCAAACATAAAAACATAAAGAAATGATAGTAGAGCCTTAATCAAAGTACTGTAAAACAGAAAAGGAAATAATTGATTAAATGTATAAGATTAACCTTAACTTTGATTTCCAAAGCCAGCTGTACACCTAGATTAATTCCAAATGTAGTTTTTTGAATGTTTATTTGTTTATTTTTGGCTGTAATGGGTCGTCATTACTGTGCCAGGGCTTTCTCTAGTTTCGGCAAGTGGGGACTACTGTCTAGTTGCAGTGTGCCGGCTTCTTGTGGTGGGTTCTCTGGGTTTTGGAGCACAGGCTCTAGGCACTTGGGCTTCAGTAGTTGTGGCACACAGGCTTAGTTGCCCTGAGGCATGTGGGACCTTCCTGGACCACTAGACCACTAGGGAATCCTAAAGGTTAACTAATTTTTAAACATAAAAATTTAGTAGGAAATGACAAGAGATTCATAACTTGAGTAATGATGAAACATTTAAAAAGTCATAAAAGTATTTTTTACTTCTAAAAAATAAAAAAGTTTTAAAAATAAAATTTAAAAGGGAAAAAATAACATATCTTAAACATAATAAAAAGGTTATTCAAGTACCCTAGGATGATGTCAAGAGTTCAGTAGATAAATGAGCAACAAATATGAACCAGCTGAACTCAACTGGAAAATACAAAGCAAACTTTAAAAGTGTTAGATCACCTACTAATAGTAATTAAGGAAGTACAAATTAAAATTTTAATATGAATGTGCTTCCCTTTGAGTTACAAAAGTTGTAAAATTATAATGAGAAAGCTTTATGAAGGTAAGACTAAGGAAATTGTTTTATGTATGGTTCCTACTGTCATTATAAACAAGGTTTTTTAAAGATAGGCTGGTGATAAGGATAGAAATCTCAAGAGTAGGAATTCTTTTCAAATAATTTTCTTTTTTTAAAGGAGACTTTATTTTTAAATAGTGACTGTGTCAGAAGACAAATGTAAGTTAGGGGGAAATATGTGGAATTCAAAATCCAGGCAAAAGGATAATTTCCCTATAGTTCAACTAGAAAAAGACTCAGTAGAAAAGTGGGCAAAGTTTAGGTACAAATAGTTCACCAAAGTGGAAATACAAAAGACCTCTTTTTTTTAAGGGGAAAAGAAACACAGGTTAAGATTTCTACTGATGATGAGCTTGTAACTTGGTACAACATTCTGTGATAGAGGGCAGTTTGTCAGTCTGTATCAAAATTATGAATGTGTTTACCCTTGACCCAGTTATCCAGTTTCAGGGAATTTATAGCACAGCTTTGCTTGGCACATGTACATAACTTGTACATAAAAGGACATTTGTCGCAGTATTGTTTATAACAGCAAAAAGATTAGAAACTACCCAAGCTATCCATTAATAGGAGACTGGTTGAATAAATTTTTGTATATCTATACAATGGAATCATACATGGCTGTAACAAAAAAACAAGGAAGTTCCATAAGCACTAATATGGAAAGATTGCCTAGATACAGCAAATTTAAAAAGAGAAAGTACAGTATAGTTTTCTAGTTTTTGTTTAAAAGAAAGGGATAGAGAATTAGAATACATTTGTATTCATTAAAAAAGAAAAGAAACACCAAAAGAATCATCTAAATCAGAAATTGGCAAATTTTTTCTGTAAAGAGTTAGAGAGTAAATATTTCAGCCTTGTGGGAAAGAGTCAGCCTAGACTACTCAGCACTGCTACTGCAGCAGCAAGCAGCCATAGACAATACAAAAAAAAAAATCAAGCGGGGATGTATTCAACAAACTTTATTTACAAAAACAAATGGCACTTCATACATAGTTTGCCAAAGACAACTCTTGCTCTAAATTAATAAAATCACTTACCTTTGTGGGGAAGGGGGAATATGTAGGGAATTTGGTGAATGGTAGATAAAGGTGAGAAAAAGATTTCACTGTATATTAATTTTTTTTTACTTTTGAATCATATGATTGATTGTATTACCTATTTTAAATGCTAAGTGTAATGACTGGAAGAAATTCATGAAATATGTGAAAAAGAAATGCAGAAGTGTACTTTTAAGTTTTTATTACAGCTGTGTGTGTATGCATAGGTTGTATATTAATTGTATAGGTTGTATATTATAGAAACCAAAATATGAAGGATATTGTTAGGATGGGGGAAATGTCAGTTTAGAGTTGACTTACCCCAAAGATCATATTTTTATAAAAATAAAAATACAGGTTGATTGAAAAATTTATGAAAGAGCATCATCTGACTAAATGAAGAGTTAATCGCCTCTAGAATTTTTGTTTCTTTTGTAAAATGTGACAAGAACTGTCTTTTTTTACAGTTACTTAATTCTGTAATTATTCTTTGGAAGGTCTTAATTACAGAACACGGTGACCTGGGTAATAGCAGATTTTTAGACCCAAGAAACAAAATTTCCTTTAAGTTTGATCACTTACGAAAAGAAGCAAGTGACCCCCAGCCAGAAGAAGTAGACGGAGGTCTGAAGTCTTGGAGAGAATCCTGTGACAGTGCTTTAAGGGCCTATGTGAAAGATCATTATTCCAACGGCTTCTGTACTGTTAAGTATCTGCCTGCTTCATTATTAGAGTTTTATTTCTTATATTTACCTTATCATTTGGAGGCTTTGGCCAGCCACAGACATCTCTTCTTAGTTACAGTTTCTTCTGCATTTTATTCCCTAAATTGTTTTTGAAAGGAGTATAAAAGGGACATTTTACATGGAAAATTCTTTCTTAAAATCCCAGTGCAAAACATTTTATTTATTTATTTATTTTTAATTTTTTTGGCCATGCTACAGTACTTGCAAGATCTTAAGTTCTCCCACCAGGGATTGAACCCAGACCATGCCAGTGAAAGCAACAAGTCCTAACCACTGGACCACCAGGGACTTCCCTAGTGCATAAAAATTTTAAATCTCAGTGAATCCTATTTCAAATTTGTCTTATTTAAGAAATGGCCTTACACTCATTGAAAAGAACTTTTTACAAAGCTACTTCTGCATAAGTGATTTAATTGGATAGTCAAAACTATTTGAACCAAACAGCTCTTTAGAAATCAAAGGTAATTTTAACTTTCTTTTAATATCTTTTGATGGGAAAAAAAGATAAATTTTGGTTCTAACAATTTTCCCTTTGTAAAATTGTGACATTTTTAAGAAAAATGTTGGTTAGATTATTAATGCATAATGCTGTACATAAATGCTGGTTATCATTATGTTTTTTCTTATTTTTTTGTTTTTAAATAATAGAAAAAACACATTATGATAGATAAGCACAGAACTCAGTTTTGGAACCTAGTATGGCAAGGAGAGACATGACACACACACTTTTTTAGAAATTGACTATTCGTTCTTAAATATACTTTCAACTTATCCTTTGTTACCTATTCAAAATTTTCACTACTCATTTCTTAATTTGGAGAGCTTCCACACTGAGTAACCCTACCGTGTCCTCTTCTCACTTCTCTTAGCTAATAAATGAGCTACAGAAAGTATTCTAACAGTGTCTGCTGTTTTAGATCCTCAGCTGTTCTGCTTAATAATTCTTAATTTTATCTCAATAATCCTTGTATTTTTCTGTATTCAGCTGACCCTTGAAGAGTGCAGTGGTTGGGATAACCAACCTATTGTGCAGTTGAAAATTTGAATATAATTTATAGGAGGCCCTCCATGTCCAAGGTCCTTTTGTATCCACAGTTGTTCTTCCCACCACAGATTTAACCAATGGTGGATTATGTAGCACTGTAGTATTTACTGTTGAATAAAATAGTAGCTCAAACCCGCGTTGTTCAAGGATCAGTGGTACTATGTTCCAGAACTTTCCTGTTGTCCTTAGACAGGCATCTCCTCCCTCACGTTTTAATAGGATTAAGAATGACATGAAATCTTTTTATTTCTCTTCTTTCCACACTCAGAAATCTTCTTTCTTTCAGGTACTTCCATCTGAGGAAGAAGGATCCATGTTCTTGATTTCATAGAGTCCTAGCTACTTCAAGATGTCTAATTGTGACTTCGTTTTCTCTTTTGATAAATAGTTCTCTTTACCTAGAAATACTTTTATTTGTCCTGTGCTTAAGTAGGGTGGGAGGGAGGACATTTATTCAGTCAAAATAGTAATTCCTACAAGTTACTTCTCTTCCTTCTCTTTCCACTTTCCCCTTCCTCCCTTTCCTCTACCTCTCCCTTCCCTCATCTCTCTCTCTGCTGTCCAAGCAAACCAGGGAGCGTTCTGCTCCTACTAGTGCCTTCCTCATTACTTAGCCACTTCTTAACTCTGAATTTTTACTTCAGTCCCTACTCTACAGAAACTGCTCTCCGAGGTTAACTAATGGTTCCTGAATTACCTGACCCAGTGTCCTTTTCTTGGTCCTTGACTTTTGTATGGCATTTCACACTGAGGCCAGTCAGCTACTTCTAGAAATTATCTTTCCTTAGACTGCTATGTCAGTACCTTCTAATTATTCCTTTTTTTTTTTTTTAAGTTTCCATTTATTTATTTTCTGGCTACACTGGGTCCTAGTTGTGGTACACAGGATCTTTAGTTGCGGCATGTGGGATCTAGTTCTCTGACAAAGGATTGGACCCAGGCCCCCTGTATTGGGAGCAGAAGTCTTAGCCACTGGTCCGCCAGGGAAGTCTCCCTATAATTATTCTTATTCTGTCTCTACTTATTTCTTGTCCTCCCCCTTACTTTTGTAAATGTAGGCATTCCCCATCACTGTATTTCTCTTTCTCAAAAACTTACAGTTTATTTAATGTAGGGGAGGTTATAGAATTTGGTGTCAGACAACCTGAGAATTTGGGCTCTACCTTAGCCACTTTCTGCATGACCTTGGGCAAGAAGCTCTGTGAACTTCAATTTTATCATTTAAACATAATAACAATGTGTTTCACTGTATTTATTAGAGCAAAAGGAAAATAAATATAAAAATGTTTTGTAGACTGTAAAAAAGGCCTTTGTTGTTTCTTTTCCTTGGTGATAACATTTTTGTTCGTTTCTCCTACATTAAGGAACAGTTGGTGTTTCTAACTCCTAGCTGGACATCTCCATCTGAACTTTCCAGTCTGTTAATGACACCAGTCTTTCTAGTCATCCAAGCCTGTCTTCCTTTCTCTTGCCCTTCATTTGCAATATATTGCCAGAATTTTGATAGGATCCTAATTTACTGCCAAATTAATTCTGTGGCCTCCTAACTTTGAACTTTTCTCAGGTTTTACCCTGTATGCCAATATTGATTATTCTCTCAGAATAACAGTTCTGGTCATGTTGTTTTGGTTTCTGTCCACTGCATGTAGAATAAAGTCCAGTCTTCTTAACCTTACATCTACTACCACATGACTTAAGTCTAATTCTGTGTTATCTCCCACAGTTCGACTTCACACACATCCTCTGACCTGACAGAACTAATTACCATTTAGTCGTTCATGGATCAGCCCTCTATTTCCTTCCTGAACTGCTTATTCATCTTTATTCTCCATCTCTCCTTATCACAATCTCATCTGTCTTGTAAGGCCCATTCTAACTGGCACCTCTGTTGTACCCTAAACCAGGAGCAGTATTTCCTTCTGTATTCATTGTACCACTGTCTGCCCTAGACCTTACCACGTGGTTTGTGTTCCTATTCCGTGGATTCTTGTGAGTGTGTAAGCTCATCCTGTTTGACTCTTCATCTCCCCCAAGGATTTAGCACATTGCTTTTGTATAGTGTTCGTTGCTTAAATATATTTTCAAGAATCTAACTTCTTTTTTTTTTAACAATAGGTTTATGCTAAAACTATAGATGGGCAACAGACCATTATTGCATGTATTGAAAGCCACCAGTTTCAGCCTAAAAACTTCTGGTAAGAAAGTAGATAGTCTCTTCTTTTTTAATCTATATGTTTATATAGGAAAGAAACCAAACCAACAGATGAGACTTGGTTTTCTAATCTAACTAGATTAGAATAAGTTATTTGTTCCCTGCTGCAGAGTGAGGCATTTGGATGTCATCATTGAGATTTCTTTTAATTCTAAGATTTTATAACTTATCTTTTAAATATTGCTGTTACATTGAGTGAAAATAAGTGATTAATAAAGTACCCTGTGGAAAGTCAGAGTTTTACTTGGGTTTGTTTAATAATATTTGAGTTATTGCATAACTCAGTGGCCTATCCATGTGTTTGTGGAAGAGCTTCCCATGAACAGAATAGGCGTGGTTTTCTACTCCAAGATAAAAAGAATGAAAAGTAAAAGTCAAATAACTTAGGGAAAGCTTATGATTAGGCCACTTGGATACAAAACTTATATTTGAGTGGATAGAGCCTTGGATTTATCAAACTGGAAATGACTGGTTTCTTTTTTTCTTCTTTCCCAAATTTTCTGCCTCAGTGTCAGACCACCTCTTTCTTACTGCTAATTCTACAGTTGTGTGTGTGTTTTCATAGGAATGGTCGCTGGAGATCAGAATGGAAGTTCACCATCACACCACCTACAGCCCAGGTCGTTGGAGTACTTAAGATTCAGGTGAGATCCCAGTATGTTAGTAGGCCATGTTAAAACATCACATCTTTAAAGCAAACATGCAAGTTGATATTTGCTCTGACATTAGAAATAAGGAACAACTATATGTAGGGGAAAGGGAGCTAGATGGTAAATAGAAACAGAGGTCTCCTTCCTGGGGAAGTACTGTAGTTAAACAGCTCTTCTGGGTTGATAAAGGACAGTAATGTGACATATACTGTTTGCTTGTTATTTTTCTCTTTCAAAAATAACCTAAGATCTTCCCAGGAATTACCAAATAGCAGTTCTAGAAAAGAAGAAAATAACTAGTTATTAAGAAATGACTATAGAGCTGCTACTGTAACTTAGAGTTTTTAATGTAGTTCATTTAAATGTCTACATATGTTTGCTAACTCTTAGCTCTGAAGAAAGCTTCATAAATGGACTTATTTTATTTATTTATTTACATTTATAGTTATGATAGATTTTCAAATAAATAGGAATAGAGAGAATGGCCAAGTGTGATTAACCAAGCAGAGTATGGTTCTAATGCTGGTGTCGGGACATGCAGATGAATAAGGAACTTATTACCTCATTTGATACCTAGCTAGACTGAAGTCTTCTGATCCTAACAAATTTGATTTTCAAAATTCATGGTGATTTAATTCTTGAGCCCAGCTAACTCTAAAGTTAGATTAAACAGTTACTGATAACTAAGAAGGTCAATACCTAATTTAGCTGTATTACAACTCTTGCTTTAATAACAGTTAGCAAGTGTTGCCTTTTTCAGTGGTATAATTTAATCAAAACATACATGGTAGATGTCATCTATAATCACTTTTTTCGTACGTACCTATTATTTCCTGCTACAAGTAGCTGCACCTCTCGGGAGATTTTCCTAACCGCAGGAGCATGCCCAACTCAGCTAAGGCAAGCTGGAAGTGTTACCTCCACAGCTCTGGCACAGCCCTTAGTGCCATTCAAAAGTTGTCGGGAAATATGCCAGCTTCTTCACCGCTCAGGTGGGACAGCTCTAAAGCACGCTCTGCAGTCTTCCAAAATCCCGTGCCTGGTAGCTGTGATGTGCTCATTAGTGCACCTGATACTTCTTGCCTTCTGTATCTCACTTCCTCAGTCCTTACTAGTGCTTCCTGAGACGACCTCCGAAATAAACTATTAACTCTCAGATCTTTATCCTGGGGTCTGCTGCTGGGGGAACCCAACCTAAGATAATATATTGTTCTATATCTGTTGACTATGTCTATGCTCTAGACTTCCTGTAAGTATGGCATCAGCATTATTAACCTGGCAGCTTACTATAAATTTACACAAGGAAATTTATTTTCCTTCTAGAAGGAAATAAATTACGTGTGTTTCAGTTTTGCCAAGGCAAACCTGTAAACCCAGAGAACACATCACAAGTTTCTGATGAAACATTTACAATAGGACCCAGTACCCAGATCTCATTTAAATCTTTTTTTTTTTTTCCCTTTTTCTTTTTCTTTAATGAATGAGTCTATGCATTTTATTGTATTTATTTTTTGGCCACACCGTGCCACAGGTGGGACTTAGTTCCCTGACCAGGGATCACACTCATGCCCCCTGTACTAGGAGCATAGAGTTTTAACCACTGGACCACCAGGGAAGTCCAGGACTTCATCTATACCTTTTAACCACAGGCTCTCTGATCACACTTTGAGGAAAGGCTTATTACTTCATTTATGTCTTTTAAAAATCAGAGTGAGAGTTACTTGGACATGTCATTAGGATATTTAACCCTTGGTTATTCTATAAGCAAAAGGATAGCTCCAGGAAGACAATTTCTAAGGATTAAAGTTGATGATAGTCATGTTGAAATTTTTATTAGCAGATGACACCTAGAAAAGATTTTGTTAATTTTGGGGACTGTGACTGAACCTGTCTTGTAAATTGCTAAAACTTTCCTAGCCTTACATCTAGTTGAATGGTTAGTCTGTCTCTTGGATAATCCTCTTTCTTGCTAATTGTTATCATAATTGTAGTATCCACTTTGCCTTACCTCCTCAGAACTGCCTTTTTAAAGGAAAAAAAAAAACTTTTAATTTTATATTGGAGTATAGCTGATTAACAGTGTTGTGATAGTTTCAGGTATACAACTGAAGGGACCCAGCCATACATATACATGTATCCATTCCCCCCCAAATTCCCCTTCCATCCAGGCTGCCACATAACACTGAACAGAGTTCCCTGTGTTATACAGTAGATTCAGGACTGCTTTTGTCTTACTTACTTTTATAGCCTGATATACCAATAGAATATTTGTTTTTCAATCCTCTCTTTAATCCTCAGTTTCCTGCACCTGGTCAGATCTGCTTAATCAAAACTGATGATATTATAAATGGAGAGATGTGTAAAAGATTAGGACCCATTAAAATTTCTTGGTTTTCACAGAGAAAAACTAATGTTAAATGACTTTATTTTAATTATTTTAATACTTTTCAGAGCGTAATCTTATTTATGATCTTTCTGTTCACAATGCCAAGTACAATGTCTGGAATGCAATAAGCACATAGTAAATGTTTATTAACTAATAATCAGTTCTTCCTGCTAAGTAAAGAGAGTTCTTAAATTTAAGTGTTCTGTGAATTTTAAGCGCCATTATAAATTACCATTGGCCATATTAATTGTTTGCTCAGAGTTGGTGAGATTGGGGGTGGCTAAAGGCACGAATTTGTGCTCTAAGCAGTAAGTTTCTATGTGCTCTAAGCACTTACATTTCTTAACTTTCTCACACAGGTTCACTATTATGAAGATGGCAATGTTCAGCTGGTTAGTCATAAAGATGTACAGGATGCAGTAACTGTTTCAGTGAGTGTGGAATATTTAATATATGTCTCACTTGTGTCTTGTTTTTCTTTTAAAAAATTAGATCTTTTTTAAAAAAAAAATTAGATCTTTTGATCCTGAGTACTGATTCTGCCACTAGAAATGTAGGTTGTTTTCATTGCTTTGATTTTGGCAGATTTTTTTTTTTTAAGACTTTTTAAAAAAATTTTTATTGAATATAGTTGATTTATAATGTTGTGTTTCAGGTATATAGCAAAGTTTTTCATATACACACACACATGTGTGTGTGTGTGTGTGTGTGTGTATGGATTTCTGTCTCAGCTCAGAGGTTAAAGCGTCTGCCTGCAATTCGGGAGACCTGGGTTCGATCCATGGGTTGGGAAGATCCCCTGGAGAAGGAAATGGCACCCCACTCCAGTATTCTTGCCTGGAGAATCCCATGGGCGGAGGAGCCTGGTGGACACACACACACACATATACACACCTACATATATTCTTTTTTACATTCTTTTCCATTATAGATTATTAAAAGATACTGAGTATAATTCCCTGTGCTACTCAGTAGGTCCTTATTTTGGGCAGCTTATAATTGTTAGTATATAACCAACCAGTTTTGTTGGTTAGTTGATGATAGTTCACAGACCTTGACTGAGAATAGTGATAATGGCTTTAAAGAATTCATGCTGCTTTTTCTTTCTCTCGTGAGATTTGCTCAAGGACACTTGAGCAATCGATAAATACCAGGAGGAAGGAAAGTTTGCCAAACTAAACCCTATAGGATTTATCATTCATACATTCATATCATTAGAGAAACTCAACATTTTTAGGAATGTTCAATAATAGTATTGTGCACTATATCTGGAAAAAAGGGGCATAATTTTTTGTGCATTTATAGTACTTCTTAATATTCCTAGAAATTACTGAGCGCTCTCCAATAGCTTTTGTTTATGTGTGTTATATCTGTCTGCCTTAGTAGAAATTAAAACTGTGGAATATTAAAAATATACATTTATTAACTTAAAAATAACAGGGATTTCCCTGGTGCTCCAGTGGTTAAGACTCCATGCTTCCACTGCAGGAGGCCTGAGTTCAATCCCTTGTTGGGGAACTGAGATCCCTGGTGTGGCCAAAAAAAATCTAAAGCAAAATATAGCATTAACAAACCTTCTTAACTTCTTAATTACTTCTTAACTTCACTTTCATGAAAAACAGCTGTATTTTTCTGAGTTAAAAAAAAGTTAGTAAAAAGAATATCATTAATTTACATTTTCACAAAGTGTGTAATGTCTAACTGATAAAAGACAACTGGATTCTCATATGTACTTCACACATTAGCCCCCAAGAAGTAATGAAGTTGTCACACATTACGTAGCTTCTGTGAAACTACATGAGAGTAAAAAAGGCAAGTAACTAGGTCTTAGTATTATTACAAATAAAAAGTAGTTTTGACTCTTTTGAAAGAATCTTGGGGCGCTGCCCTAGAAATTAAATCTCACCCTCTCTAATTCCGTTTACTTAAAATTGTGAAAGGAAGAGTGAGATTAAATTCATTTTGTACCAAAATCATGTAAAGCAAAATGTGATTGGTTGTGTATTCATCATAAGTAGCAAATAGAGGAGCTTATGAACTTAGAAGATACGATTGATGTGTCTGAGGGTATTGTTTATATCATCTTAAACCAGAGATATTGTCAAGGCATAAAAATGTCAAGACATTTTGTTGTCTTTTGGGCATACTGTGGTAGATTGGAAGGAAATATGGGTTGTTTCGATGAGGACCTGGATTTAGATCCCATCTTTATGATTCAAAGGCTGTATAATTTTGGTCATTATTTGAAAGAATTCTGTTTTCTTATCTGCAAAATGGAGGTGGCAATAATAACATCTACTTCACAGGGTTGTTTTGAAAATCAAAGAAGATAATGTGCACAGGAAAACTTGAAAAACTAAATTGTTACACATATGTTAGTTAAGATGGACTTACTTTTTAGTATCTTTTTTATTCACTGCTTACTCAATTTTATTCACTGCTTAAGATTTTTAAAAATTCTTATTTTTCCCTCCATTAGAATGAAGCCCAGACTGCCAAGGAGTTTATTAAAATCATAGAGCATGCAGAAAATGAGTATCAGGTAAGATGACTTGAAACTGTTATTTATAGATCTATATAGATTTTGATTTTAACACGTTCTGTTACACTTCTCTATCCTTTGAACATAAATATACATAATTATTCAGTGATACTAAGTATGGAGACTTTGCAGACCTTGCAACTTTGCATTCTGCTTACAGTCAAGGTTTTGGCATTGGAAGGTACTGCAAATATATCCCCCATTACCCCAAAGTAAAGCGTTCCTATGAAACCTTTCCAAGGCCAAGTGGTGTAAAGCAGAGAAGCAAGTACCTTAGAACACATCTTGCTATCAGATGCACAGAATGATTGAGATACTCCTCAGATCCTCACAGACACAGTTCACAGCTCTGGCTTGCTTGATGCTGAAATGCTGAGTGTAGTTCCCAAGGAAGGAGCTTGGTGGGACCACTGTTACTGCTCAGGGTGCACCCTGTCCCTATAGCAGCCTCACTGACAAACAAATACTGAAAATGCTTTTTTTTTTTTTGCTTTGCTAAAAGCAAAGTGAAAGTGGTAGTTGCTCAGTCGTGACCGACTCTGCAACCCCATGGACTACAGCCTGCCAGGCTCCTTTGTCCATGGAATTCTCCAGGCAAGAATACTGGAGTGGGTTGCCATTCCCTTCTCCAGGGGATCTTTCCAACCTAGGGACTGAACCCAGGTCTCCTTCTTTGCAGGCAGATTTGCTACCTTTCTACCATCTGAGCTACCAGGGAAGCAAAGTGAAATATAGCAAACTTTGGAAAAGCAGGGGATTACCTGTATAGCCCTAGTTTTAGAAATAATACAGGTGGGCTTCTTAACCTGCTTCAGAGATTGGAGAGGTGCTCACTAGAAATCTTCTAGCCCGTAAGTCCTTAGGGGACTCAAGCATGCCCTTTCACTACATCTAGTTTTTGTTCAACTTATTTTCAATTATCTATTACAGACAGCAATTAGTGAAAACTATCAAACAATGTCAGACACCACATTCAAAGCCTTGCGCCGGCAACTTCCTGTTACTCGCACCAAAGTCGACTGGAACAAGATACTCAGCTACAAGATTGGCAAAGAAATGCAGAATGCTTAAAGGCTGAATGTAGGATTCTTCAGTACATGGAAAGAAAGGATTCAACATATGGTCATATGATAAATAAGTGATTTATAAACAAGAGTGATATTTTGCTAGGGCTTTCAAAGTTAACAGGTTTTCTAGCCTAATGGAATACTGTTGAACCTAGAGCATTGTCTTGATTCTTTTGTGTTTTCTGCCTTGTAATTTTGTTTTCACTATATCTACTTGTAAATCTTTTTTTTTTTTTTTTAATTCTGCCACATTTAATGATGGAGAGAGATATCTACCCTGGAGTCATTTTACTGTTTAGAAAATTTTCCTAGCCATGAAGCCCTGTTACTGACATAGACAGGTAATATATTCAGTACTTTTCTACCCCATCCTTCAAAGTACTTCTGGTGTTCAGTGGTTTTTACTGGTTGACCAACAGCTAAAGAGGCTATGCTGCAAACTGTAGCTGAATGGAAGACACATTCATCCTTCTCCCTCCAGTTGCTTTGATCATCATTTATAACATCTCATAACTGTAGTTTCATATGTTTGGATTGGGGCTTTTCAGGTCCATTTTGGAGGCCAAGGAAGTTTTCTGGAAATTCCGTCATAGCCAGCTTCTCTGGGGAAGTTGTTTTTAAATCCAAAGACTTGAACCACATTCCCTACATAAACATGTTTGCTTTTTTCCCCTTCCCTCATTGTCTCCTTCCCACCTAGTACCATTATAGACATGTGCATTTTTAGAAGAGTGTTATCCATTTTTATTACTGTTTTTTTAATATTCGAAAACTGCTGACATACTAGGGGTATAGTAGAGTATAAAACTTGAAGAAATGCAGATGTTGAAGGAATAATAGGTATCTTGTGCTTTAATACTTTGTGGCAGGATTGTACTATAAGCGAATGAATCAAACAACTATGTTCATCACAAACAAAAAACTAAAAATGAACCAAAGTGAAAAGGATAACTTTCAGGCAGTATCTTTCTATTGTAACCTGTTATTTAAGGGAATACTAGTGATTTGTTCTAAATAGGATGTAAAACTTATTCCAAATTACTCTTCCTCAGTCCTGCCTGCCAACTCAAATATAACTGTGATATAGCAACCCTTCCCAGGTTTATTGGCAGGTACAGGTGTGATCTCAGAATACACAGGTGACATAGATATGATATGACAACTGGTAATGGTGGATTCATTTACATTGTTTACACTTCTACGACCAGGCCTTAAGGGAAGGTCAGTTTTTTAAAAAAACCAAGTAGTGTCTTCCTCCAAATACACGTCAAAAAAGAAGGGTATTTGTGTTTCGGCTTTGTTTTTGCTGAGTAATACAGTCAAGCAAGAGTTTATTTTTAAGTGACCCGTTGATTTGTGTAAGCATTTTTGTTTATTTCAAATAAAATATATTTGTATAACTTGTCATTCATACTATCCATCCATACTGCACTATCCTCTGTATCAGGTAGTCCAATAGAAATACACCTGTTTTGTTCTTAAATTGTCTGAGTCTCTCCTTTTTGAGCCATCTCTTCAGCCTTTGTTCTCAGGGTAAGATGTGGAATTGCTCTTATTTGATGAGAATGTTCAGGGTTTCAACTAGTGTAGATTCAGTGACTATTCAAAGACCAGCTCTTTTTTTTTTTTTTTTGTGGCCATGACTTTCGAACCTTAGTTCCCCCACCAGGGATTGAACCTGTGCCCCGTGTTGGGAGCAAGCAGTCTTAACCACTGGACCACCAGAGAAGTATCCCCCCCCCTTTTTTTTTTAATTTCAGGAATTTCTCTATGGATCATACTGCTTTACCGTCAGTGGCTATTGGTGTTTTCAAAGGTTTTATTTAGGGTTTTCCATTTCTGTCAGAAAAATCTAGTTAGCTTCTCTACCTGTCATTCAGAAAGCAAGGCCCAAGTAGTTATAGTTACTAGGTTGTTGTCAGTTCCTCAGTTGTGTCCGACTCTTTGCGACCCCATGGACTGCAACATGCCAGGCTTCCCTGTCCTTCATTGTCTCCTGGAGTTTGATCAAATTCATGTCTTATTGAATTGGTGATGCCATCCCACCATCTCATCCTTTGTTGTCCCCTTCTCCCCCTGCCTTCAATCTCTCCCAGCATCAGGGTCTTTGCCTGTGAGTCAGCTCTTTGCATCAGGTGGCCAAAGGATTGGAGCTTCAGCTGTATTCAGGGATGATTTCCTTTAGGATTGACTGGTTTGATCTTGCTGTCCAAGGGACTCTCAAGAGTTTTCCAGCACCACAGTTCAAAAGCATTAATTCTTCAGCGCTCAGCCTTCTCTATGGTCCAACTCTCACATCCATACATGACTACTGGAAAAACCATAGCTTTGACTCTACGGACCTTTGTCAGCAAAGTGATGTCTCTGCTTTTTAATATGCTGTCTAGGTTTGCCATAGTCTAGAAGTGAAAGAATCCCTGCACCATGAACATGGGTACTATTACACATCAACTGTAAAGACTGCTTTCCTTCCGTATGAGTCTGACTTACAGACATAGGGGTAGGGCTTTTATCCTGTTTCCCAGTTGATCTAAGCCCTCAGAGGAGTTTCAGTGCTTCATCTTCCATTCATGGCCAGTTCACATTCCCACCCTTTTGAGGGACATTTAGGTATGCTACACTATGTCCTTGTAGTACAGATTCAAGCATTCTGGCCTTTGCCTTTAGCTTATTAACCCCATCAGCCTGCTTCATTGATTTCCTTAGCTCATACAAACTTTCGTAAAGACTCTTGGCCATCTAAAGCCCTTGGTTTCTTATATAATTGGGCAAAAGTCAACCCTCCTTGCCAAGTCCTGCAGAGACTTCCTTAACCTCCTTCAGCAGAATATTTGCTTGAATTGTGACTCTTATCACACTGCTGAAATCAGCCTATCCTAGGACAATGGTTTCCCAACCAAAAGGAGTTTCCTCTGAGGCCTCACTCCTGTAGTTGAAATTACACTACTGAAGACTGTTTCATTTGTGCCTGGGTGGTTGTGCTTCTGTTAGTTGGCCTAGTTCTAGTGCCTGTTCTGTTTTATAATCTAGAATGTTGACACTAGATTCATCTTGGTTCATGAGATACATAGCAAGCCTTGGCACATTCTCTCCAAACTCACAAAAGACTGATACAATTTGAATGCCAATATGTGAATTTATAAGTTAAATATAACTACCAAGCCACTTCTTAGAAAATCAAAGAAAGAAAAGACTGAATATAGAAAACTGGCTAATCCCATACAATAAACTGAGCTAACTAAAATTCTCCCTTGAACAGAGTGTATGTTAAAAAACAGGGTAAGGAATTCCCAGGCAGTCCAGCTGTTGGGACTCCTCACTGCCACTGCAGGGGGGCATGCATGGGTTCACTCCCTGGTTGGGGAACTAAGATCCTGCAAGCTGCACAGCACAGTCAAAAACAAAAGAGAGTTGATCTCAGCCCGCTGAGAGCAAAAACCAAATGTGTCCAAAAGCATTCTGTTATGGATGTTAATCCTCATTTACTGTGGTTATGTTCTGTAAAACTGCCAGCAAACATTGAATTAGCACATATTGAAACATTGCTCCAGGGTTAGGTTCCTGCATGCTTCTGGTCATAACATTATTGTCAACCAATCAATACACAATCTTGGTTTATATATTTTTATTTAAATCACTATTTAATACTCATTTTTTATTCTTTAACATTGAACTCTTAGCTGACAGCACTATAATTCATGCCTAAGTTAACAAAGCTTATCTAACATGGGAATTTTCTCTATAAGGGACATCAGTCTTGTACTTAGGAACACTAGACAGCATTTCAGAACTACATAGGTTTGGGGGCCATTTTAAGCAGTGACCAAAAAAAAAAAAAAGCACACAAAATAGACCACAAAAAGGATTTTTATTACATGAGCTGAAACAAAGCAGGAAGGGCATGGCCTTGTTCTACTTTAGCTGGGACAGGCACATTGGGTAACTCAGATTTTTCTTTTTGCCACTCTGAACATCCATGGATGACTACAAAAGTACTGCAAGTGTTGATTTGGGGGTTACTGATGTTAGTGAGTAGGTGAATTTGCAAATACAGAATCTGCAAATAATGAGGATCAACTCTACCTGCCACAGACATTCCTTTGGTCAACGGTAGGCTGACCAATTAAAGCATTTCAGTCAGTTTCAGCGCTGTTGCCTTGGGGAATACAGTCTTAGTGGAAAACATAGAGACAATTCAAAACTGAATTGTAGAATCCAAGTAACTATGGAGTAATGAGAATTACCAAAAAAGGGGGGGGGGGGCTCTTAACATTCTTCTACAAAGTAGTTACCTTAGAAGGCTCTAGGTTTGTTCCAGTAATGTCCTTGGCCAGAGTTAACTTTGGGATTGTCTTCAGTGCCATGGGGTCTCAGAGTCAGACAAGACTGAAGCAACTTAGCATGCATGTACGCAAAATCAACCTTATTGGGCTTCCCAAGTGGCACTAGTAAGGAACCTGCCTGCCAGTGCAGGAGACTCAGGAGACCCAGTTTTGTTCCCTGGGTAGGGAAGATACCCTGGAGGAGGGCATGGCAACCCACTCTACAGCCCATAGTGTTGCAAAGAGTCAGACACGACAGAGACTTAGCACACACACAAACAAAATCAACCTTATTATACTTAATAATGAGATTTTTATAAGTACAGAAGGATTTTGGGAGGAAAGTGAGACCTGAGCTAGTTGTGAAAGGTAGGAAGACCATTCTAGGCATCTAGACAGCCACATGTGAAAATAACAAACTCCTAGGGAAAGAGGAGAGTGAAAAGGCTGGCTTAAAACTCAACATTCAAAAAAATAAGATCATGGCATCCGGTCCCATCACTTCATGGCAAATAGAGGGGGAAACAATGGCAACAGTGAGACTTAATTTTGGGGGCTTCAAAATCACTGCAGATGGTGACTACGGCTGTGAAATTAAAAGACGCTTACTCCTTGGAAGAAAAGCTGTGACCAACATAGACAGCATATTAACAAGCAGAGACATTACTTTGCCAACAAAGGTCTGTCTAGTCAAAGCTATGGTTTTGCCAGCAGTCATGTATGGCTGTGAGAGTTGGACTGTAAAAGCTGAGCACCGAAGAACTGATGCTTCTGAACTGTGGTGTTGGAGAAGACTCTTGAGAGTCCCCTGGACTGCAAGATCCAACCAGTCAAAGGAAATCAGTCCTGAACATTCATTGAAATGACTGATGCCGAAGCTCAAACTCCAGTACTTTGGCCATCTGATGTGAAGAACTGACTCACTGGAAAAGACCCTGATGCTGGGAAAGTTTGAAGGCAGAAGAAGGAGACAACAGAGGATGAGATGGTTGGATGGCATCACCGACTCAATGGACATGAGTTTGAGCAAGCTCCAGGAGTTGGTGATAGACAGGGAAGCCTAGTGTGCTGCAGTCCATGGGGTCACACAAGAGTCAGACACAACTGAGCAGCTGAACTGAGCTGAACTAAGGGAAATGGATTTTTCCAGATGAAACTGGTTTAGAGAGGTTCCCTTGTCACAAAAGCCACATAAGATCACATTTTCACCCATGTTTTTACTATACTATAGCTATTTGTGTATGTTTTGAGAACATCCAGGAAATAAGCATAATTTGAGAAGGGGGAGGTTATGTATCCAGGAATAATGGAAGCTTAGATTTCTGATCAGAATTGAGCCAGATGTTCAGTTTGGGTGCGGTGGGTGGTAGGTTTTTGTAGTGGTTAAGTAATAGTGCAATTCTGAGGCGTTCACTCTCTTTAATATCAGGCCTCACTGGATAATTGGGGGAGAAAAAAGATAAAATCTTTGGCCACATTCCTAGTTTTTCCCTCCACTTTGCATAAGCAATTTCTAAGAACATATTCCCTGTTCTGTTCTCCCCCTCTCCCTGTAGCTTTGGTTCCCACTGACACTGAATTTCCTGTTGCTAAAGCCTGTTTTTCTTGGCTTTAGTTGGTTGTTGGCCTCAGAAAAGGTACAGGGGTAGCCCAGCTGGAGTATGACCTGGGTTCTGAGCATTCTTCACACTAGGTTAGATAGAATAGAATAGAATAGGATAGAATAGAATAGAATAGATAGGTTAGATAGAATGACTTTGGAGAACACCACCACCTTGGATATATTGGAAACCGGTATTTTTGTTTAAAGATTTTTTAAATGTAACTTTTATGATCTTTGTCCAATCCTAGTCAGTGTGTTTTTGTTACTCCAGTTGATAAGTAGATGATGAGGCTTTTTTTAGGTTTGTTGTTGTACCCCCACCCCCTTTAGTTTGTCTTAACTATCCCTCTTCCGAAGCTTCTTTTATTAATACTTCTCTTCCTGGTACCGATGCTGTAGCTATTAACCATTTATTGCCTAATCTAACAGTCTCTTGCTCTCCAGAAGCTAATATTTTGATGACTGGGGCAATCCTTAGCTAAACACGAGTAACAATTAAAAGTAATACAGCATGGGGTGCATTAAGTGCCCAAATATGTGGCTTAAAGGCTAGGGATCGCCAGCCTTTCCACATAACGAAGCCTTTGTGACAGAAAAAGTAATGAACTGTTCGTCCCGGCAAATCCCCTTGTTCCTCCCTCCGACGCGTACACACCTTTATCAGAGACACTCGGTTCTTCCCCCAAACTTCTCTTACGCCTTCCTCCCAGCGTCTGCAAGCCGGAGAAGGGAAAATGGGGGAGGGGGGCGTGCCTCTCGCTTCCGTACTTGCCTGTGTCCCAGGCTGTCTGGGGGAGGTGTTGGATGAGCTGCCCCAGTCCAGCCGCAGCCGACCCAGGTCCCAGCCCCTGCCCTTTGCTCCCCTGCTTTTCAATACGTCGCGAAGCCCTGGGAGATGGGCGTGGGAGTTGTCCAAACTGAGGCTAGGAAGTCCTCCCGGACTGTTCAGGGGGCCCCAGGCGATAGCCACGTTCAGATTCTGGCTGAAAGCCAGGGGAGGGAGCTTGGGGTAAGGGGAGGGCCCTGAGGGAGGGGTCAGACTCCTTAGCAAAGAGTTAATAGGAAGAGGGGGAGGGGATAGGACGAAGAGACCGAAGGGAAGGCTCAGGTAGGAAAAGAACCGAAGAGGGAAACCTGGTGGGGGGAGAAGGGGTCCTGCCGGATCTGGGGTCGGAGTTGGGACTTTCTCCCCTGCAGCACCCTCACCCTAAGACCGCCAACTTCCAGCAGCGGCGGCGACTTTCAGTTTCATTTCTACGAACCCTCCTGCCTGGGCCGCAGTCGCCGCCGCGATGCCCAGTAAGTTCAGCTGCCGGCAGCTCCGGGAGACGGGCCAGAGATTCGAGAATTTCCTGGTCGATCGGGGACACGACAGGGAGACAGATCGCGAGCGGCTGAGGACCATTTATAACCAGGACTTCAAGACCAGGTACGGGCCGGCCCACTCCCTGGCCCCGAAACGCGGGCCCAGCTTACCGCCGCGACCCCCGCGGCGGGGCCACCCTTCCCGCCCCGGGGCGCGGCAGAACGGCAGCTCCCCCAGTGGCTCCGGCGGGTCCCGGGGCCGCGCAGCGCCCCCTCCTGCGCGGTGCCCACGCCCCGCCCGCACCGCCAGCATCCCACCCGCTCTGCCCCTGCCGGGCCCCTGCGCCGAGTCCGGGCGGAGAACCTCCCCCACAGCCTGCTCCCCCGGCGGCGGCGCTGGACACGTCTGGGGGAGCCGGGTGCTGCGCCCACGCGCCGCCCGCGGGGGTTGGGGGCTGAGGGTGGGACGCGCTCGGCGTGGGGGAAGGGAGCTCGGGAGGGAGCCCGGGCTTTGCAGAAGAGCGGGGAACGAGCTGCCTGCTGGGGGCTGCCCGCCCTGGCGCGAGCTTTGCGGAGCCCTCCGCCCCTTCATTGAGGGGCTGTTCCCTCGGGGGTTCACTATCCCAAAGAGCTTAAGAGACCCAGGGTGGGAGGGAGAGTCTCAGGGAGCTCGGGGAAGAAGGAAAGGGCACCAAGTGCGTACATACCAAACCTCCATTAGCACCTGTGGCTTCTCCATGGAGACCCGCGCGGGGGCCGGTCTCCTCGAGGCCCCTTCTCATCCTGTGGCTAAAGGCTGTTTGGTCCTCCTTTCCTGTTCCCATTCAATTGAAAATCAAAGAGACTTCTCCCTGTCAAACCACAGAATTGTGCTTCAAAAACACCTCTAGCAACAGGCTGCAGTCTTGGGGTCTTGGGCCGAAGACCAAGAAACATTTTAACAGGGATAAATGTAAAGACTTAAATAAATACTGGGTGGTGGGAATTTAGGCTTATTAACAGACCTCTTGAAAAAGACTTTGGGTTTCAGTAGACCAAAAGGCGGGTATGGCTGCTTAAAGAGCCAAAGAAGTGTTAGACTGTGTTTATAGAAGTGTGGTTTGGGGTGAGGGGCAGGAGGTAAGTGATTCTCCAGGTTTACCGGATCTTTTCTGGAATATTGTTTTCAGTAATGAGTGTCACGTTTTAAGAGGGACATTGGTTTTTTTGTTTGTTTGTTTGTTTGTTTTTTAAGAGGGACGTTTAACGTGTTTGACTAGCACCTAAAGGAGCAAAGACGCTGACCTGTTTTATGTCCCCACACTGTGCTGGGCACTGGGGAATATAAAGATGGAAAATACATAATGCCAGGGGAGCAGGAGGGGCTGTGAAACATACAGTATGCTGTAATAATAAAATAGTATGAGGACTATAATACAGATAATAAGGAAAATGCTGGAGGAAAATAAAAAGAGAACAATTACCATTGAGTCACATCATCAGCACTTCACATCCATGAATATACCTGTGTCCAAAAAAATAGGTAAAACGCGACTGAACAAAAGTTGACTACTTCTTTGGGCTCTGTTAAAGAGACTCTCATTCTGATGCTTGTTTAAATGGTGAGGAAGACTATTCGAGACTATTGCAGTAGGTACTGCCATGGGAGGAGCTCTTGCTCAATCTCTCAATACAGCAAAGACAGCTGGGATTTATAGCCAAAAGCAGAGTGAGGGGGTCTTGAATGAAGAATCACTCAGAGACAGCATTAAGGGGGTGGGGGTGGGGCAAAGTTGAATCCTAAGGCAGAAGAGGGTTCAGAGGGGCCTGACTGAAGTTTCCTTAAAGAAAGAGTCTTTGTCATCTCTACATCAAAGTTACACAATATGTTCTAAAACTTAGGGAAAACCGGCTTTGTCAGATAGCCACAAACAGGCATATAGGAAACCACATATACCATACATTTTGAGTGAATCTAAGGGATTTCAAAAGTAATTTTTTTAGTATGTACTTGTTTTTAGGCGAGTAGTTATTAGGGAATTCAATGGAGAAGGTGGCATTGACCTTGTCCTTTGCTTTGAAGGCTAGATAGCACTTTAGTACTTGGAGGAGGAGGAAAGGCTTCTATGTTGATTCATTCTTTTTGTGAAACCCAGTCAAAGAAATGGAGAAATGCTGGCCTTGAAAAGAGAAAAATTGGAGAGGACAAGGTAGTTATTGGTGAATATTTTAAAGGCTGTCCTGAGGGAAAAGGATTATACTTTGGTGTCATTCCAGAAGGCAGAACTGAGTTCACTCAACATGGCCTACTTGGGGAATTCCTCGGTGACCTAGTGGTTAGGATTCCGGGCTTTCACTGCACTTGCTCGGTTTCAGCCCCTGGTTGGTTAAGTGAGATGCTGCAAACTGAGTGAATTGACATAGCACCCCCCCCCAAAAGAAAACCACCCCCACCATCCACCAGGTGGAAGAGACTTCTGTTCTGACTAGAGAGAACTTTCTTGTGGTGTGACCTCAACCCTCATCCACCCAATGGAAATTTATTGCTTTTCTGGGCTCTCATTGCTCCTTCTTCGAAGCTTAGTTATAGCTGGATGTCACCCTACCTTGTGTTAGAGCTCGCATCTCTCCACCAGACTGTAGAACCTCTGAACACAGGGACAGGCCTTTCATCATGTTGGTGCCTTCCCTCAGTCTCCAGCATAGAGCCTTGTATGTATTAGATGCTCAGTAAATGCTTCCAGAATCTAATAGAGTTAGTAAGTAGAGTTGATCTGCAAGAGAAAAGGTTGTAGGGGAGCTTTAGCAAGTCACCCTGTATCAGGAATTCTGGGGCACTTCCTCCACTGAGAATAGGTCCCTTCCAGCTATTAATAGATTATTTTATAATGTTATGAAGTACCCTGCTCAAATATATTTAATGGGGGCTCTACCATTTGCCTGTGTCCTGGTTCCTGCCTCTAAAGAGTGTAGGCTAGTTAGTAGGGAGTGGCAGATGTGTAGATAAACATGTCATTCCGAGCTTTAGGAGCTAGTATCATGTTTCCATAGCTGGAGTTCAAATTCTGACTCTGCACTTACTAGTTGCATTTGATTTTAACCACGTATCTAAATTTCCCTAACTATTAAGTGTGTAAAATGCTGCCTTTCTCTCAAAATAAAATATCATAGGTAAGGCATTTCCCCTAGTAACAGAGTGCATGGGCTTTGCAAGTGGCAGCTATCATTAACATTGCTGGTTAGGAGTCCGTTATGGAATAAGCACTGGCATCACGAAAAAGTTTCTGAGGAGATGATTCTTGCCTTGGGCAAGAGGCTCATTCTTTTATTTAACAAATGTTGGCTGAATGTCTCCCATGAGCAAAGCAAAACTGTGAGTTGCTATAGATAAACAGAAAGAAACTAACTAAGGAAGAAGCAGGCAATTAAAGACAAATACTTTTAAGAAAAAATGTATTTAACTACTGTTCTGGTAAGTACTTGTGAGAAAAAGCCCAGGATGCAGAACCAGAAGTTTCTGGAGAAGGTGACGTTTGAGCAGAATCTCGAACGATAAATGGAGTTAGCAGGTGTAAGACAAGGGAGAGCAGTCCAGGCAGAGGAAGTAGCGCCTCCGAGGCTGGGCGTGAACTGCGAACAGGTGACACGAGGTCAGAGGCGGCAGGGGCTGGATTGGGTAGGCCACTGTGGGCCATGGGGAGGTGATGCGGGGTTTTTGTTTTTAATCTTAACAGAAATAGGAAAGCACAGAAAGTTGCAAAGCAGGACACCGAGAGAATCAGTGTTTTCAGAAAGATCACTCTGGACCTCTCTCCACAGTAAAACTTCACATTTTATTTTTAGTCACTCAGTCAGTTCAGTCGCTCAGTCGTGTCCGACTCTTTGCGACCCGATGGACTGCAGCACACCAGGCTTCCCTGTCTCTTTCACTATCTCCCGGAGTTTGTTCAAATTCATGTCCATTGAGTCGGTGATGTCATCCAGCCACCTCATCCTCTGTCATCCCCTTCTCCTGCTTTCAGTCTTTCCCAGCATCAGGGTCTTTCCCAATGAGTCAGCCCTTAGCATCTGGTGGCCAAAGTATTGCAGCTTCAGCATCAGTTCTTCAGATGAACATTCAGGACTGATGTCCTTTAAGATTGACTGGTTGGACCTCCTTGCTGTCCAAGGGACTCTCTAGAGTCTTCTCCAACACCACAGTTCAAAAGCATCAATTCTTCAGCACTCAGCTTTTATAGTCCAACTCTCACATCCATACATGACTACTGGCAAAACCACAGCTTTGACTAGATGGACCTTTGTTGGCACAGCAGTTGTCTCTGCTTTTTAATATGGGGTCTGGTATACACAGCTTTCACAGAACAGTATGTGTCCTTAAAACAAAGCTTAGCCTCATTCCCTACCTTCTGATATTTTTTATTCTAGTTTACTTCAGTTGTACAAAAGCCCTGGTCTGGTCTTTACCCATTAATGAGAGTTGCAATCCAGTTTGTAAAACATAGAACTAGAAGTCCCATTAAAATCACTTCTTAGGTAGCTAGTCAGACAAGAGCAGGTCCTGCCCCATTTCTGGATAGGGCCATCTCCCCCCCAACCCCCACCCCCCACACCTGGATACTGATGACCAGAACACACCCAGACATCCTCCCTTTTTTCGTTAGGAACTGCTAAGTTTCCAGCCAGTTTCAGGACCAAGCAAGATGTCAGGAACACAGTAGGGCTTTTCAAACCACCATCACCAGTTGGCTCAGGTGCACCAAGACCTGAGAGGTGACAATAAATCAGCATTGCAATTTTTGTGTACCTCCCCCTCCCCCCCATAGGTTTTGCTTTGGTACTTATGGGTAAGCACCTGCACATGAGAAAAGTTATATAACCTAAAGCTGTCAATCAATTTTTCAGTCAGATAACTCAGGACACCAGGAAGGACTTTCCACCCTTTTATTAAAATCTACCCTACCCTCACTGCGGGGCTGCTTCTGGTTCCCAGACAGCCGACTCTTCTACCTTCTCGAGAGTATACTTTTGCTTCACCTAAAAACTCCTGCTGCTTGAAACTGCTTTGTGTCTCTCAGTTGAATTCTTTGCCTCAGGAGGACAAGAACTGAGGAATGGCTGTTCTGCCAGTAACAATCTGATACTGTA